TAGCTGAATCCCACCACTAAGTATACTGGAAATATTGTTCCATAGCACATACTTGGAAAGAAAACTAAATGAATGAGCAGGCTTCATGTAAAAGATTCCTTAATTCAGAGATAGGAAGACTTTTGGTCTGTAAGACTATCTGTCTCTTTTTTAAATTAGAGCACTGATATCAACTAACCAGAGATTGATGCAAAATATATTAAAGAACACTTAATATCCCAAGATGTTTTTGTTTCAGAAATATGATTTGGGAGGGTAACTTTCTATTGGTTTTATAGTTAAAAAACAGATGAGTCAGAAACCATTCACTGGTCTACTAGTATTCACAGCAGCTCTAAATACCACTGATTTTTCCCTACCATTATCTACCCCAAAGCTTTGAAAAAAAACGAGTCTCTTTCAAGTTAGTCTATTCTTGAGATCTAAAATGTGCAATTTTTGGTAGCAATGCCAAATTGTTTCCTTACTTTCCTGCGTTCTTTTGGAACATGTTTCACTACCCAGTCTAGCCTAGGATTTCCTCGTGGTTTCCCATCCAGTTACTAGCCAGATCTGACACTGCTTGTTTTCCGAGATCAGCCGAGCAATTATTAGGCGCTGCTACCCGCATTTAACAACACAGGTGTTAGGATCTGTCACAGGTTAAATGTTATTTGGGGACAGAAAGTAGCTGCCCTACGAGGTAATGCTCAAAGGCTGGATGGAGAGGGAAACAGCGGGTTATCGGTCCGCACTCCGCAAGGAGCAAATACACTGCAGAAGCAGACATAGGTTGCTCGGCACAGCCGGAGGGAGAATCGCCAGGCAAACGGGGATCCCCATCGGCTCCCAGGACCTTAACATCCGGGTCTCACCCGTTCCAAGCAGCTATTTACGCAATTCCTCGCAGGGCGGGAGGGAGCGCGAGAGCGAGCGTGCGCGCCCGCACGCCCGCGCGACAGTCCTCTCTCGCTCCCCCCTCCCTTCTCTCGCAAGTTACAATCGTTTAATCGGGCGGGCACGAGCAGAAGTGTTATCCTCGTTCTGACTCGTTTACTCTTCAGCCGCACGGTTCGGATTGGTCGACCAGGTCGAAGGCGGGCTCTAAGCACCCTCTTTTGGCGGACTATTGGGCGGCAGGCGCAAACCTCGTCCCGCGATTGGCCAAGAGGCGGGCAGGGGCTTGATGCGGGGGGAGAAGCCATTGGCTGGAAAGTAGGTTAGTGGTGCGACGTTCAGCGGCAAGCCAGGCGGAAAGTAGGTCAGGTAGAGGGGTTGCTGGTGCCGGCCGCCGTTTGCCTGGGCTACGCCGGCGAGCCGCTGCGAGAAGAGGCCACGGGCGAGCCCCCCCCTCCTTCTCCTTCTAAGCACGGTGAAGACCAGGAGGGGGCGGAGGGCTGCTGCTACCTGCAGCCGGGCTGGCAAGAAGGGATCGGGGCGGCGGCGTTGAAGGAGAGGCGAGGCGGTGGAGGAGATTCCCCTTTGGTGCCCGCGCGCGACCAAGGGGATTCCTCGTTTGGAACGTTCCCGGGCAGGTTGGGGACGGGAGGGGGACTTCTGCCGAGGGGGTTCCCGTGCCGGCTGCATTCTGCTTCGGTCTTCTCTCCCTTGGACAGGTGGGTGGAGGAAGCGAGCCAGCGCAGGTTTGTAATGAGCACGTTGTTTTTTGGGTGGGAGCCCACGGACGGGAGAACCGAGGGCAGGGGAAGTTTTCAGGATAAGGTTTCAGGTGCGGCGAGTCTTTTGGGGGAGGAGGGAGGGGTGGCGGTGGTGTTTCCCGTGGCTTCCCCGGTCTTGGGCACGACGGGGAAGACGTTTCCTCCTTGGGGGGCGGGTGTCTCCGGAGGCATGATCGGGGCGACCCCCTCGGGAAAGGCGTGGGGAGGGGAACGGGGAACGGGGGTAGGTAGGGGGAGGAATCCATGCTTAGGTAGAAAAAGAAGGGTCCCTTTTCCCTCTGGCTTCTATCGCGGGGCATTTGCTCTGGAGAGATGTGGAAGTGAAATTAGATGCTCTTCCTCTTGATTGGAGAGCAGGAAACAGCGTTTATTTACATAGGGTTGTCCTTAAAAAACCTGTAGCCTTGCAGTGGCAGCTCCGTGCCGGGTTGTTGTTTCTCTCTCTCTCTCTTTTTGTTTCAAACCAAAATTCGATCCGATATACCTGGGGTGGAATTTGACGTCCGAACTTGTCAACCCCCCCCCCACCCCGGTTTACTCCCTTCTTTCTTTTCCCTCTTTTCTTTATTTTGGGAACCGGACTTGCTGAAAACTCAGCTTCTAGGAAAGCTGTATTTGACCTTTTAATGTTTCGGAATGGAAATTACGGCAAACGCTAGGCGTTCATTCGTAAGCGTGTGAAAAGACAGATACGCGGGGAGTCGAGGAGAGAGAAAAAGAGGAAAGAGAGAACGGGCTCGGTTTCCCTAAGAAGGAAACCTGTTTATGAAATTGGGAGTGAAGTCCTGGTGATATTTATCTGGACATAACTTTCTGGTAATTGAACATGAGTCACTTTTCTGGATTCTGGTGCTTTAATTTTTTTTCCTATGAAAAGAGATTTCAGCTATGTGTTAATGGAGTCTTCTCTGGTTTAGATTTATAAGTAAATCTCATGTTATAATAGATAAAATATTTCTCTGAACTACTAACAGTTTAATGAAGACCGCATGTATGTAGTTCTTGCTTTTAGTGCATGCCTATCGCTACCACATTTTCTTTTTAAAAAACTTGACACATCAGGCAATATTCCATCATTTCTTTAATGCAGAACTTGATGCATAATTATATATGTTTCACGGTATCACTGAGCATAAGTTTACCTCATTTCAGCCTCATAATAAAATAAAGCCTGAGTGAGCTTGGTTTAAAAAGTAAAGCCCCAAACAAGCGGTTAAATTATTTTTAAAAATGAGGGCATTAAAATGTCTAGAATGGAAAGAAAATTATTGCGTTACTATTTATGAAATTTCCATCATAAGCCTAACAATGTATTCTTTTATGTATTTGGAGGAATTCCTGCTGTGTTTAAGGAGACCTTATTAAGCATTGCTTCCTGAAATTTATTGGCAAGATGAGCTTTTAAAGGTTAAGATAATAATTTGAAATCTAATCTTGGTGTCTGAATAGTTTGAACTTTGAAGTAATTGGTGCTCTCCTGAGCATGGTTGCTTGTATAGGTGTTTCATACCCAACTGAGTAACATCATAGTTTGGACTCCTCCTCCCCCCAAAAGATCTGAAGGACCAGTATCCCTTTTAAAAGTGATAACATAGAAACATCCATTTCCTCTTTGTTTCCCTTGTTTTGAAATACTCTTTCTCTTTCTAAGAGTTTTCTTGCATCCATTTGTCTCTCTCCCTCCCTCCCTCCTCTTTTCTGTTAGAGTTCTTTTAGATTAATTTTCTTCCACATACACGAATACTCAGGGCAACTGTAAATAAAGTCTTCATTGTGGAGTCTCAGAGGTGCTCTCTAAGCTTGGTTGTTTGCTTGCCAACTAGGTAGCATCATCACTGCTAGTGAGTGTTGATTTGTTTCCTGTTTATATACAGTAGCTTTCCTCCCCTCCCACCAGTCATCAATAGATATATAAAGATAAATCACTTTTACACACCATTCAAAAGAATCAATATGCTAAGAAGGAAAGAAAAAGATCAAAACACATCCTCTCTAGCAACCAACCTCCAGATAAGTGGGAATTAACACTGGACAAACAGTACATTAATCAAGAAATGCCAAGGAGAAAGCCATACTTCCATGAACACTGGCATTGTAAATAAATAGGGAGCAAACCCCATGCTCACTAGCATTGTGGGACTAGAATATAATTCAGTCCAAGAAGTTCTTTTGATTGTTAATATGCCATACTTAAGAGCTTCATTTCTAGGGCAAAATGTATAATAATGGGAGTTTTGAAAACAGACATCACAAAATATGCCCTTGGCTATCTTGCTCAGACAAAGAATATTGGGAGGAGCCTCAAATGCAAATAACACCTCAATATGTGGTTAGGAATTCATTTGTAAGCAAGGTCCTTTCTAAGCACAAAATCAAGTTAATGAGATATATGATATCTTTGGTCCACATAATGCAGGGAGTTTTCCTTTCAGTGGAAGTAATTATGCCACGATTCAGTGATTATTAATAAGTTGGTTGCTTTAGTTTTTGCTTTATACCGTATCAGAAAACCTTTGACCCAATGGGGCCATTGTTTCAGAAATATTTCCTTGCCAGATTCCTCAATTAATTCAACAATGGCAGAGGTTCTCATATATTGTCTTCACAAGAGAAGTTCTTTAAAAACAAGGGAAATATTCAGAGAAGCATCTATCTTAAAAATAGCCCATGTTGAACTGTATAGCACAGTCAATATCCAGAGTTGACCACAGGAAATGTTTTATAAAATTTGGCCAATTTTATTTCAGTAAGGGTTACAGGTTCCTAATTTTGGATGCATTCTATAAGTTAGCCTATTTGGGGTACCTTGGTTCAAAACTTGTCTCATAAAGTACCATTTTGCTCAGTTAAAGGTTAAACACAGAGCTTTAATATATACCATAGTGTTATATGATAGATATCAGACAAGAATACTATTATTGTAGCTCTATACACAATTAATCCCTCAGTGAATTTAACAAAATTTATTTTTTTATACAACTCGGTTGCAGATAATGACCCACAAAATATAGTTTTTAAAATGCCAGCCATATGACAAGCAAATTAGTGGGTGGGTATTTTTTTAAAGAGAAACACCACATGTATTTCAAAACTATTGTAGTTGGGGGTCACGTGTGTTGGTTTCATTACTGTTCTCACTGACAATAATACCAAATAAGGACCTGAAGATGAACTGTGCATATACTTCCCACATAATAGGATCCTGAATATGCTTGTTCAGATTAAAAACATTTTCATAGCAACAAAGTATTTTGATCTCAATGCTAAGAAAATACAATATTTCTGCAATTAAAACACTGCTTTAACTGAATCTCATATGATAATTTTTGATGCAGAGGCTTCTGGTATAAACTCATAATTAGAGAGGTACCTGTATTAAAATTAGTGTTAATTACTTACAAAGAAGTATGTCCAAGACTATGTCCAAATAAAAAAAGATAACCTTGACATTATGCCTAACATTATCTCTTGTAGCCATGTTACTTCCAAACAACAGATTTAATTAATATGAATACCTGCTCAAACTCTGGATTTATAAATTAGAATATAGTACAGCAAATAAATGCAATGTAATTACTTAAACTAACTTTTAGTTTATCTAAAATTTTGCATTGCTTCATAAAATGTTCATGGTTGGAATAGGAATGATTGTTGAAAATATGCACTGAAGTAATCTAGGTTTAAGATAGTTTTGGTCAACTTTTTGTCAACTGTATGAGAAAAATGGAAATATGTTGAGCCCAAATTATGATGGCTAAGAATTCTTTTAATGAAAATACAACAAGAGTTGGAATGTAAGTAATATATTTTACTAGACATTCTCAAAACTGTTTTTGAGCAGTAATTGCAAGACAAGAAGGAACCCCCCCCCCCCAAATTATCCACTGGTCATGAAAGGAGAAGTACAGTCCCATCAAAGACCACCAGTGGTAACATCCCAAACCTTGAAGGGTCCAACAGCAACAGTAACTCAGCCATTTTAGGAGAGAGCTGAGGTCTGCTTTGCTCCACCCAGACCAAAATAGCCTCCAGATACTGGGTCTGTATATTGACAGATTTACCTGTGAGGCTCAGGGTTGCGGCGTAGAGCTAGGTATCATCACTATACTGATAATACAGAACTTCACACTAGTGAAAGATCTCATCCAATGGTGTTGAACAGGAGAAGGGAAAGTGTTGAGTCTTGAAGCATTCCACATAAGAATGCCTCATAGCCATGATCTCTTTTCCCTGTACCACCAACCACTGAGGAAGAATGTGAATCACTGGAACACACTGCCTCCCATTCCTAAACCCTACAGCCAGGACAGAAGGATACTATGGTCAACAGTATTGAAAGCCACTCCAAGATCAAGAAGCACTAGGAAGGATGCATCAATTAATGCATCATCCTCATGCTGCTCTGCCAAAAGTCATCAACAAATGTGAACTGTGCTGTCTCTGTACGGGATCCTGGCCTGAAATCAGACTGAAATGGTCGAGATAATCTCTTTCCTCCAAGAACCTTTGTAACTCATCTGGCCAGCTTTTTTACCAACTTCCTCAAGAAGAGAAGAATGGAAATTGGCTAATAATTGTTGAACTGGGAAGGGTTCAGTGATGACCTCTTGAAGTGGGGGGTGTACCATTGCTTCCTTCAAGGTCTGATAAGAACATCCCCTCTCTCAAAAAGGCTGAAACCAGTGCATGCACCCACCATGTGGTCATCTCCCAGATTTCTTTAATAACCCAGGAGAGCCAGCATTTAACAAACAGGTGGCTGAACTAATAAACAGAAAAACCTTATCCATTTCCTTGGATACAGCAGAATCAAATTCAGTCCAGATAGCATCACAAGATCGTCTTTTGGACATGCCTCGTCGGAATGTAACTGAGCGATTTTGTCTGAGTGGTTTTGTAGGAATGTTCCTCAGTGTGGCTTTGCAGATAATTCCATGCATTCCCCACCCCCTGAACAGCTTACC